CCCCACAACGTTCGACTCAGTCTTCCACGTGGGATTCGTTTCGCTCAGTATGGGTGGATGGGAGGCGATACCAACGCTCATGTTCAGCAACCTCAAGGAGCTATGGGTCTCGCACAAGCTATTCACACTGCCCGGTAATCCGCTGTTGCACGTCGCGACAAAGGAGGTGGCTCGCACCTTTAGGGAGTTTGAGTGGGATGCTAGCACCTTACTTGCAGAGACAGGCGAGCCTGTTATCGTTGCCAGGGGCGAGCGCGGAACTGTCATCGCTGGCGCCGGCAGCAGCGCCCGCAATGATGACGACGGTGCTAGTCGCTTCTCATATGGCATTGACTTCAAGCCCGACCTCTCACTGCTAGACAAGACCGAAACTGAGACTCATCTCAAGGACCTATATGCGCGGGACCCGCAGTTTTCGCCGGACCCTAAGGACGCCGAGGCTGTCGATCGTGCCGATGCTATTGCGCTGTACTTCATTGAGCAAGCACTAGATAAGATAGAGAACGGCGAACCGTTGGAGCTCGATAACCACTTAACCAAGTATGTGGATTTCCTGTGCAAGGTTCGCGCCAATAGGCACAAGTACACGTTGGCATCGCGGGGGCTAGGCCATTTGACTATCGAGGATGTCTTGCGTGAGGCAGATAACGAGCCAACCCAGAAGCTAGTGAAGAAGGCTGGCGAGCATCTCTATGGCATTTTGGCGGGAACAGATAATGCGTTACAGATTATCTTTGAGGGCAATCTTGCTAATGGTAAGTCCAACAAAACAGGCTGAGAGAGGGCAATGATAAAACTAACATGGGGGGACAGATTTCTACCATTGCGACTTCTATTCACGCCACTACCGCAAAGCTGGCGCATATATGAACATGCTAGCGCACGCGAACCCCCAGCTAAGGATCTGTGAGGTTGGTGCAGGAACGGGCAGTGCCACGAGCAAGGTACTGCCGTTCCTGATTGACACTGATGGCCTTGAGGGTGATCGATTGGTTCGGTATGTTAATTTGGGCATCTCCCTCCTCTCCCTTGTACTGACCATTCTCTCAGATTCGGCGAGTACGCATACACCGATGTTTCAGTCGGTTTCTTCGAAAAAGCGCGCGAAAAATTTGCCTTTGCCGAGAAACATATGCGCTTCGCCAAACTTGACCTTGAAATCTGCCCATCCCTTCAAGGCTTTGAACTCGGCAGCTATGATGTGATAATGGCCTGTAACGTAATCCACACCACATCAGATCTCATGAAATGCCTTCGCGACCTGTACGCCCTCCTACGCCCTGGAGGTAAGCTGGTTATGATGGAGACCACTGTCGACAACATCCGTGACGGCATCATCTTCGGTTTGTTGCCGGGATGGTGGATGCGTGAGGGTCATTGGTGGGACGGTGAGGATGTTGACGCTGTGCCCGGAGAGGACGAGGCACTGGGACCTATCCTCACTGAGGACGGATGGGATGCCGCACTAAAGACGGCAGGCTTCTCGGGTGTAGACATGGTGTTCAGGGACAACGAGTACAAACCTCGTCATCGCGTCTCAACGCTCGTAGCAACAAGGCCAGAGGAGGTTGAAACCGAAGCTGAGCGCGAGCACTGGGTCATTCTCGCGGATCCCGCGCAGGCTACTCATGCCGATGTGCTGAAGGCGAAGCTCGCTGCCGTCCCATGGATCGGCAAGACGGAAGCGTACACTCTCGAAGGTCTGGTTGCCGCTGGATTGGAGCTGAGCAACACCAAGGTCATCAGCTTGCTCGAGATTGACACGCCCCTCCTGGGTACCATTGCAGGTTCGCAATTCGAAGCCCTCAAGAAAATCAGTTTGGATGCTAAGACGGTCCTCTGGCTTACATGCGGCGGCAGTCCTGGTGCTGGCAACCCTGCCGCTGAGATGGCAGTCGGTTTCTCGAGAAGTGTCTGCTCTGAGCGAGGTGATCAGTCCTTCATCACACTGAGCTTGGAAACCGAGGATCTGGCTGAAGGATCAAGCCATATAGTACGTCTTCTCAAGCACTTCCACAAGGCGGGAGGTAGCAGGAGCGCAGATGCCGAGTCGGAGTATGCAGTTCACAACGGCCTCATCCATATCCCGCGCATCGTCCCACAAAAGAGCGTCAATCAGATTCTCGCCACGCGGGCCAAACTCCCTGATAAACTCAGCTTCGCACTTGGTCAAGCCGCCCCCAAGCCGCGCGTAAACCTGACCATCCAACAGCCCGGTCTCCTTGACACGCTCTACTACACTGAAATCCCTACTCCCAGCACCGAGCTGCAATCAGGTGAAGTTGAAATCGAGGTAGCAGCTGCCTCCTTGAACTTCCGTGATGTAATGATCGCTCTGGGTCAGGTGCCTGGCGACGGCCTCGGCCTCGAGGGCTCAGGAACTGTCACCCGCGTCGGTCCAGGCTGCAAACACTTACAACCTGGCGACCGCGTCATGTACTTCATCTTCTCGACAGGCGGCTGCTGTGGAACCTATGTACGTTGCGATGAGGCCTCGACACGCAAGATTCCGCGCGAAGATATCTCCTTCTTGGACGCGGCCGCTATCCCTGCAGTGTGGGCTACAGTTGTGTATGCGTTTGATTATGTGGGCCGGCTGCGCAAGGGCGAGAGCGTATTGATCCATGCCGGAGCAGGTGCAGTGGGTCAAGCTGCTATTCAGCTCGCACAGCTGCGCGGGGCGGAGGTCTTCGTTACGGTAGGAAGCGAGTGGAAACGCAAGTTGGTGAAAGAGCTTTACGGCCTCGCAGACGATCACATCTTCCACAGCAGAGAAGCCAGCTTCGTTGACGACGTGTTCCATGCCACAGCCAACCGCGGCGTCGACGTTGTCCTGAACTCCCTCGGCGGCGAACTCCTCCAACACTCATGGCTTTGCACTGCGCCCTTCGGCCGCTTCATTGACATTGGCAAAGCCGACATCCTTGCCAACAATACACTCGAGATGGGTCATTTCCTACGCAACGTCACCTTTGCGGCTATCGACGTTGCGGGAATGTACGCCGAGAACAAACCACTCATGCAACTTGTGCTCGACGATGTGTTCAGTCTATTTGCAGCGAACCCTGGGTTGCACAACCCCAAGCCGCTGCATGCATTTGCGCCAAGCAAGATCGAAGAGGCGATGCGCGCTTTGCAGGGAGGCAAGATTGCTGGCAAGGCAGTCATTGATTTCCAGATGGCGGGTGATTTAGTAGTGTATCAGCCCGTACGGACACCGGCATACGGCTTTGAGGCACAGGCTACCTATGTCATTAGCGGTGGTTTGGGCGGTTTGGGGCGTGAAATCATGCGCTGGATGGCCTCTCGCGGTGCCCGGCATTTCCTCGTCACCTCGTCTCGAGGTGTGGCCGGGCGTGCCGACGTAATTGCTTTCATCAAAGAGATGGAAGCGCAGGGTGTCGTGGTCCACGCGCCGGCGTCGGATATCTCCAACCGCGCTGTTCTCGAGGCTACCCTTGAGGATGCTCGCAAGACACTACCGCCCATCAAAGGCTGTATTCAAGCAGCAATGGTTTTGTCAGACAACATGCTCTCCAACATGACTGTCGAGCAATACCACCGCGCCCTAGCCCCCAAGTACCAAGGCTCTTGGAACCTTCACGAGCTCCTACCAAAGGATATGGACTTCATGGTCTATCTCTCTTCTATGAGTGGCATCATAGGCAACCCCGCACAAGCTAACTATGCAGCCGGCAACACCTTTGAAGACGCGCTTGCGCGGCACCGCGCAGCTAATGGGCTAAAGGGAGTCTCATTCGATCTAGGTTTAGTCCTAGAGGCTGGATGGGCGAGTGATAACTTCGAAGATGTGACAAAGAGTTTGCGCGCTGGCCTGGGTGGACTGACGCAGAAGCAACTAATGGCAATTTTGGATGTCTTGTGCGATCCGGAGTATGACTGCACGGGTAGTGCGGCGCAAGTGGTCAATATCCACGACAAGCCTGTGAAACTATACAGGATGTTCCAGGATGGTGTGTTGCACTGGGCAGGCAAGCCGCTTTTCAAGAACTTGCTTCGTCTGGGCCAGGTTGAACTGGTCAATGGCGCTGGAGGTGGCGGCGAGGGTGAGGCCACGGCAGTTGACTATCTGGCGCTCATCAGGGCTGCAGCTAATGCCGAAGAGGCTGGGCAGATTGTTACGCTGGCATTGCTTGGGAAATTGAGCAAGTCACTATCAGTGCCAGCGGAGAGTCTCGATGTTGGCAAGCCAGCCTATGTGCTTGGTGTTGACTCGCTTATTGCAGTTGAACTGCGGTACTGGTTCCTCAAGCAGTTCGGCGTAGAGGTTCCTGTGTTTGTCATTCTGAAGAAGCAGTCGACCGCTGAGTTGTGTGGGCATGTGGCAGAGCAGGTAATTGCAGCAAAATGAGTTTAATGATAGCTATGATGTATATTAGTAATAGTTTAATGAAGGAGGAAAGCAGTGTGGTAGTGGAGCGATCATCGAGTGCAGGTCTGATCGGGATGCGGCCCCACTTCGCTTCCGCCGCCGAGGTTACGGTATGGTTTGGGTAGGCCCAAGTCCTTCACGCCGTCTTATGATAATAATGGCCCTGTCTAAGGGCGAGAAAAGATGAATTGTGTTATGAATTTCACAATTTTGCTATGTGCATGTACACGAAGAAGTGATCGAAACCGATGGTATCGAGATATACATTAGAACTCATCAGGTGCATCTAAGTTAGATACTACATATCACTTGGCTTGTACAACTTTGTGCCATTCAATCGAAAGGTTCCCGCATTGTAGCACTGCACGATTGCTACTTAGACGTACTTCTTGGTATATCCACAGCCTTTCACACTAAGAACGCCCCAACAAGTCTGAGATAGCCTGCATGACACAATCATCAAACGGCAATGGAGTTGATGTATCTGCCCAATGCTCGTCTCCTTCGACTCTTGGCTTTACAATATCCTCCGTAAGGCTAACATCAAGTTTGTGATCCAGCTGACGGATTGCATCAAATGCGTTGCTGAGTTATTACTCTCTTTTTCAACCCAACACACAACATGATCGGCTGCTCTGTAGATATCTGGCATAAGCTGTACCTGCAAAGTTCTCTTATCGTAATCCAATCGATTGATACAGATCGCATCAATCCATATTAGTCGTTCTCGTTCAGGAAACCTGAGGTATGGTAAGGCAGTGGCCAAATTGCGCGTGATATGGAGTTTGCCCTTTTCACGGCTTCGTACCAGGAGAGTTTTAGGGTCAGCTGGCGAACCCCATGTGTAAAAAGGCGCGTCGAAATTCAATGAACGGGATCTTTGGAAAGGGTTTAATCCTTCCCCTTACTGCTGTGACGATCGGAACCGTTGAGGTTGATAATATTTATAAAGGTTGACCTCGAGAGGTGAGTCAAAGGCTCTAGGCTGAATAGTGAGAAGTCGGATGTAACCCTTCTTTGAATTGATCGGAGCGTAGGTGTAGCTTTTTTCTTCAATTTGTGGTTCGGTGATACGGCGCTTCTTCGCGCCACATTCAGTCTCAGGTGGTCGCTTCTTTGTCGACTCGAATGCGGGTAACTGAGCCGGTTGATCTCTGGCTGACATGTCCAAGATGAAAGAGGGCTAGAGGCACTTTGAGACGGAAGGCTTGTGTCATGGTGTATCGATTGTGACAACTGTTCGATACGACGAATTACCTGAGAGAACATATCGTGAAGTGAGTTATGTGAGCAGGCTGAGGAACTAGGTAGAAGGACCAGACTGAGGGCCTGGGTTAAGCCGTCAGGCTGATAATTATTCATGAACAAATGGCTGCCACATCGTAAATTCAAGCCACTCTTCAGGCGAGCAATCCTAAAAAGGGTGTACACAACATATGCATTCCGCAGCTGCGTCGATTCTGACAGGACGATGGGTATGAATGGCGGCGTTAGAGAGCTTTATCACTGGTCTGCGACGCACAACGCTTACATCATCGCAAAACGGTAACGTGTTTTATCAGTAAGCGGCCCACATCAGTAAGTGGCCCACCCCACCAAACTTGACGCGGCTCTTTGCGCAATTGCTCTACAACAACGCAATAATATTAGATAGAAATAAGAGGTATTATTCTTTATCTAGATTTACATGAAGTCCGAGTATGC